CGCAATCTGATCTCTGTTCCCAGCTTGATGAAGAAAGGACTGGAAGTGAGGTTCTATAATAACAGGGTTTCTATAGGCAAGAATAATAAAGTGAATGCTATGGGTAAATATGTACCCCGAGCATGAATTATGCATTCTTCCAGTAGTTTGTAATAATTCTGATAATAAAATTTTGAATTTAAACTACTTGTCTTGTTATATTTCTGAATCTGAATTGTGGCATTCTAGACTAGGACATGCTAGTATTTCAAAAATGAAAGAAATTATCAGAATGAACTTGCTTCCTGCACTATCTAATATTCAATTGCCACCATGTGAACATTGTTTAACTGGTAAAATGACTAGAAAACCTTTTGTTGGCGGACATAGAGCCAATGAACTTTTAGGGTTGATACACTCGGATATTTGTGGTCCCCTAAGTATCAAAGCTCATAGTAATAAAGAATATTTTATTACTTTTATAGATGATTATTCCAAGTTTACACACGTCTATCTTATATCCAGAAAATTAGAAGCTTTTGACTGCTTTAAGAGATATAAGACAGAAGTTGAAAACCAACTTGGATTGAAAATCAAAATTCTGAGAACTGATAGAGGTGGAGAATATAATTCTAAAGAATTTGAAAGTTATTGTATTCAGCATGGAATTAAAAGGCATACGACAATGCAGTATACGCCACAACAGAATGGTGTTGCTGAAAGAAAGAACAGAACATTATTAAATGTAGTTAGATGTATGTTGTCTGATTCTGGTCTCTCTAAAAACTTTTGGGGAGAAGCATTGTTAACTGCAAACTACATTTTAAATAGAATTCCCACCAAATCAGTTGTATCTACACCTTATGAATTATGGAATGGGAGGAAACCTAATTTGAGTCATCTCAGGAAGTAGGGATCTATAGCTCATGTTCTCATTCCATGTCAACTTAGAGATAAGTTGGATTTTAAAACAATAAAGTGTAGATTCATAGGGTATTCAGAAAAGTCAAAAGGTTATAAGTTCTACAATAAAGAAAAAGGAGTCATTGAAAGCAGAGATGCTACTTTTCTAGATAATCTAGAGGAAGAGGAACAAGTTCAAGAGGAAACAGAACCTCTAACTGTGATAGATGATGATTATTCCAGTGTTGTTCCCACTAATGACCCTGATATTGTGAATGAACCTAACCTTGAAAATGATGAAATACCTATGGAAAATAATGTACCTAATCAATCGGTTGTAGGCAACAAAAGGCCAAGAACACAACCTTCATGGATGGATGATTACTATTTATATTCATGTGAGTCATCCTGTTTTTCGGTAGATACAAATATAGAAGAACAAGATCCCTTAAACTTTTCTGATGCGATGAAATCGCATGAATCAGCTTTATGGCTAGAATCTATGAGAGAAGAACTTGATTCCATAGAAAAGAACAAGGTATGGGAGTTATGTGATCTACCAGAAAATAGAAAAGCCATAGGATGCAAATGGGTGCTCAAAAAGAAATATTGTGTTGATGGATCTATTGATAAATTCAAAGCACGGTTAGTTGCTAAAGGTTATAACCAGAAGACAGGAATAGATTTTCAGGAGACGTATTCTCCTGTAGCTAAATTTGCATCCATTAGAATTATTTTGGCTATTGTTGCATAACTTGATTTGGAGTTATTCCAAATGGATGTTAAAACTGCATTCCTCAACGGAGAGTTGAAGGAAGCAATATATATGCAACAACCTGAAGGTTTTCAGGTGAAAGAACAGGAACATAAAGTTTACAAATTAATGAAATCTCTATATGGTTTAAAACAGTCTTCTAGACAATGGTATCTTAAATTTCATGATGCGGTCACTAAACTTGGTTTTATTCAAAATAAATTAGATAATTGTGTATATGTCTTGAAAAGTGGGAGCAAGTTTACTATATTATCATTATATGTGGATGATATATTGCTCGCTGGAAATGACATAGAAATGTTGAATAAAATCAAGGTAGATCTCAGCGAAAAGTTTGAGATGAAAGACATGGGAGATGCATCATATATTCTTGGAATTCAAATAATTCGAGATAGAAAGTCTAGAATGCTAAGTTTAAACCAAGAAAAATATTTAAGATCAGTTCTTAAAAGGTTTGGAATGGAGAATTCCAATCCAGCACCAACTCCGTTGGTTATGGGAAAGAGATTATGTAAAGAGCAAAGCCCTGGAGAATGGCAGAAGCCATCAGATGTTCCTTATGCTCAAGTAATTGGAAGCTTGATGTATGCAATGTTGTGTACCAGACCTGATATAGCTTATGCTATGAGTCTAGTCAGTAGATATCAAAGTAATCCAGGACCAGTACATTGGGAAGCTGTTAAAAGGATTATGAAGTATATCAGAGGTACATTGACTCATAGATTAGTCTATCAAGCCGATTCACTTGAACACCTTGGTTTTTCCGATGCTGATTTCGGAGGTGATAAAGATGATGGAAAGTCCAATTCGGGACACTTATTTATCTTTGGAGGAGGAGCTGTTTCTTGGAGTAGCAAGAAACAAGGGTGTGTTGCTAGATATACGTAAGAAGTTGGATATATAGCTTATAGTATGACAACTACACATGCTGTCTGGATAAGACGGTTTTTGATTGATCTTGATCTCAATTTGTTAGAAGGACCTATTGATATTTATTGTGATAATCAAGCAGCAATTAGCTTAATCAATAGTGGTGCGAATAGCTTCAAAGGAAAACATATTGAGATCCAGTATCACTATATTCGAGATATTGTAGAAAAGGGAGAAGTCAAAGTGACTTATATCCCTACTACAGATATGATTGTTGATCCTTTGACAAAAGGAATACCAGCAGAATCTTTTATCAAACATGTAAGTTTGATGGGACTTAGAAATAAATAAGTCCAAGTAAAATAAGAGTTACTCTCTACGGATAGTGAGAGTAATGGTAAGCAGAAACATCTGATCTCACGGATAGTGGGAGGCATATCACTTGGTTGATTTGGTCAAGTGGGAGATGTTAGCTTGACCTGGTCTAAGATGACCAAATCAACGATTCTCAGTAGAGAGAATTGTGGATCGTGGAGAGAAATTGGGTTTGTTGAGAGAAATTCTCTCAGTAGCGGTTATGAGGGGGGGTGGAGATAATGGGTTCTGGCTCCTATATAAAGAGGAGTAATCTCCTTGAGAAAAATACAACAAAAAGAAACAAAATCAAACCCTAACCTGTTACCAGAGCCCCCCTCAAAAATCTATTCTTTCTTGTTCCTTGAGTTCGATCACTGATATTGTATCTTAATCAATCAGCTACTTCTCAGGTGTTTCCATGTATTTGACTCTTTCCTCTAGCCTCTCTTATGATCCAGTTCATCTCTTCTACAAGTGATTTGTTTGGAAATTTATATTTGTTTGCTAAATTTCAAAGGTTTGGATGAAATTAACAACAAATGTGAAACCTTCAAAGGATCAACCGTATGATGAAAACCCACAAGAAGATGAGCGTTAAGAATTATAAATCAGTTTGATCAACTAAGTTCTGGCTACATTCCTGTGGTAGTTTTAAACGTTGATAGTCTGGAGCTAATATAATTAATTCATTAAGAATTTTGATTCTTAAGTTTCTTGTAGTGAGAGACAATCTTGAATCTTGGGCATAGGCTAAATGACATCTACAATAGAAGCTCAACTATAGCCAATAATGAAAACGGTTATACTTTAAATCTGTACAAAATTTCATAAACGTGGGTCTGTACACAGAAAAATAATGAAGTTCGAAGGGAAATTCTTGCAACTTTTTTTTTTTAATGAGGAAACCCTTGGTCAGGAGGAGCTACAACCAGGTGACCAGTCGAGTTCGAGAGCCCTTGCCACGCCTTAGAAGACATCACGAAGTTATTCTCCTCTACTCAACCCAAGGGAGGACCCCCTCTGCGACGCAACCTAGTCATCAATGGAGCCTGCACCTGACCAAGTCTTGCATATTTTTTGTTAGGTAGTAGCACAAATATGATGGAGGGCTTGGTTATCCAAATTTATGTAGAAGGAAAAGGAAATGAAAAGGACTTGGGATATTTTAAAACAAATAGGCCTCTCTCCCTCAAAAAAAATCTAAAACGTTCGAGAAAAGTAAAACCAACACGAATCAAGCCTTGAGCTTCAAAGCTTGTCACAAGTTGCTCTGAAAGCTGCAAGAAAAGTCCATGACTTGTACTAGACCCGACTAGCTACTTTGTTTGGTCCCTCTCAGAAATCGTGACCAAATAATTTAATAAAGGTCTGTCATAGAAATGATCGCTAGATATTGAAGGAACTAGAAATTGTAATGAACTTTTCTGGTTTTCCACTGAGCTAGAATTATCCTTGACAGCTATAGCTAAAAACTATATTTATGAATGAATAAGACTTCCATAATTCCCCTTGGTTGTAGGCATACTACCGTCCCATTCCCAAAATCAATCACCACAACCTATCATTCACCCTATGCATTCTCTGTAGCCCAATACAAAACCAAACTTTACATAAAGAAATTGAATATGTTAGCATATATCTTTTAAAAGAAATGAAAATCATATTTGTTTCGAGTTCTCAGGTTTTTGAAAATGCGAAGTTAAGGAAATCTAAATACTGATTAGGCGGGTGCACAAGAAGATCGCGACAACTTCATTAATTAAAAAAATGGAGAAAAATGTGAAATACAATCATGTGCAGTTACAAAATTAATACTTTCTAATTATAACAGAAATTTTCAGTATCACAAGTTCAAAAGATTTCCATGTGTTGTTACTTGTCCAAACACTCACCTAAAAGGTATATCTGAAAAGGTACCATAAACATTATTTCTAAATTGCGCAGAGATCCGCATGTTCTGGTATATTTATTGGATATCCATATGTATCCTAAATAATATATGTTCAAACCTAACAAATTTACACAATCGACTGTATAATATGCATGCAAACCTGCCCGCCATTCCTTTCTAGCATATGCTCCCCCAAAAAAAAAACGCCCCAAAACACAAAAAAAAGACCCAAAAAGAAATAACTTGAGCCAGGAGATTACAGAGTATTAAGAGAAATATTAGACAGTGGAATATATGTACATACCTACAGATTATATCATTTTCAGACAGTTATTTACATTACCATCATGTACACATATTCTTTTAATGAGCGAGGCAAATGTTATACAGGACTTATGTAATGACTTCTGCAGTGACCTGGGAAACATCCTGGCGACACAGCGGACATACCCTGTAATAATATTTGATATCAGAATATTTGATAGTGAATGATAGAAAAATGCATTTTAAAATAAATACGGATAATCATACCCGTGCATTTCTTTGAGCCACTTATCAACACAAGACATATGATATTCATGGCGACAAGGAAGGACTCTTATACTATCGCCTTCCTCATATTCAGCCAAGCAAATGTAACACCTGTATTAATTGGATAATGGAAAAAATGTCTCAGAGTAAGTCATGAAAGCATTACTACAGATATCGTTCACAAATTAGAAAGTAACAAATATTATATCAAAAAAGTTTCAGAAAAGCAACATAATTTGACAATAAGATAGAAATCTTAATTTTAGAGAGCAATCTAAGGACATCTCTGGGTGATGGATATAAAGACTCACAGAATGCAGACAACAATTTCCTAAGGAATGTATGACCGAAGACGGGTCAGACTAACAATGGGGTGGGCTATGAACCATGACGAGGACAGTAAGAGTACATGTTACAATAAATCTGCAACTATTACTTACAAAAAAAATAAATTGGAGTCCCTTGTGAAGTATATATGCAACTGATGAGTGTACCAACAAAGTCATGCATCAGAATTATATAATAATCACAAAATCAATTGTGAGTAGACCATTAAACAAAATCTGGGACCATCATAATTCCTGCATAGCTAGAATCTTTTATTCCTTTTGTATCTTAGGAACAGCGAGAGAGAGCCAAGCCTGTGTTACAAATTTGATATAGGACTTGCATGAACCTTTAGAGGAGGGACGGGTCAGTGAAATTAATTCACTCTACCCCACTTGAGATGTGATCCAGTTCCTGCATATACTGATATGTGGTGCATTTCTAATCCGGATCATCAAATTTATGATCCAGTAAAAGAACAATGACTAATTGGTCCTATATTCTTTTGCTGTATTTATCATTTAAACTGGGTTATTAGACTTATTTTACAGCCTTTCAGACTTATACTAGGACTTTCAAAATTGGATTTGTGCTTTGATTAATCATGTAAATATTTCCTAATTTAAGTGTGTGCTTTATATTTCTTTGAAATGAATAAAATTTCTATTACCATAATCCTTTATTTTACATGTCTTTGAATGTCTGGGTCTCCTTTGCCACATTCACAGATACAAAATTACTGGGATGACCTTAATGATGCTCCAAGTATATTATGGCCCAAAATGCTGATTCAATTAAGCTTACACTTTCACAATGTATATCCTTCAAACTAGCATTCGGTGAACCCAAACCTGTACCACAGACCCAAGCATACAAGGAATAATGGAATCACAGACCCGAACAAAATAGGTTTCTCATAAGACCTTAATGATGCTCCAAGTATATTATGGCCCAAAAGGCTGATTCGATTAAGCTTGCACTTTCACATTGTATATCCTTCAAACTAGCATACGGTGAACCCAAACCTGTACCACAAACCCAAGCATACAAGGAATAATGGAATCACAGACCCGAACAAAATAGGTTTCTCATAACTTGTCATACTGGGTGAAAAGAGAATATCCTTTTCAGATAACATTATGTTCTAGAATAAAAGTCAATATCTCTTATGGGAACGGTCATTTTGCATTAGTGAATATGACCTATACTTAATCAAGAACCAGTATGTCCTCCCAAAATTTTTTCGTGTACTATTACCATTCTTAATTAAACACAGAAATTTTGTACCAAGAATTTCATCCTTCACGCAAGCTACGGTGCATCTAGTTAATCAAAAGAAAAAAGTTACAGTACATATAAAGCAGAGAATCACACGGACCACAGGAAAAAAAACAATTTTTCATTCACAACTTCACGCATCATACGCTATGCCTGCAGAATAGCTCAAACAGGGAGAGAGCATCATAGGGATTAGCATAAATGAATGCACCTAGTAGATCTCCGCTGGGAATCTAATGAAAATAAAGCAAATCAAGAAGCTTACTGTTCTAAGTCATATGTTTCAACTGCATCATGTTTTATGTAAGTCTTGACAGGCAAAGCATTCACAACAGATTCTGGTGCTGGAAGAGAAACCACTGAAAGTGAAAGCGAAACAGGTTGCCGGTGGATTTCATCCAAGACCTGCAATCATATTGCATAAGACTATTGCATCACAGAAAAACTCTAAGCAGTCAGCACCGTAAAACAAGGTAACTCGCGTAGCCTCTCAATTGTGCAGTATGCAAACGTAAATTCTTAATTGAAAATTTAGAGCCAGCAAATCACTCTAGGAAGCTATTCAAAGTAAGTCAAGTTCAGCATTCAAGGTTACCATAGAGATTATAACCTTCGTATAAGAATTATCATTACTCAGTATGACAGTACTATAATATGACTTATTTATTCAAAGTCAAATGTAACTAGATATGTTTGTATATGAAATTAACAGGATGACTACGTATACACCCAGCCATCCACCCACATCAGCTTTTCACATGATATTCATATCACTGCATATAACGAAAAAAAACTAAGGGTAGGAAAATTTAGAAGGAATAGAGGGTTCACTCCTAGCAATTATAATCCATCAAGGCAATAACCATAAGTTCATGATATAGATTTTATTGTAGCAGCAGACAGCAGGGATGAACTCTAAAGGATGGGTCCCAGAGATACTAAAATTTAAATAAAAATGTTTGAATGGTCGTATGCAAGCGAAGATAATTTATTTAAAATAAAAATGTCACTTTATTCTTATATAAGAGTCCATTTTTTACTAACTTTGATAATAGACTCCTAAATGTTGGTAATTTCAAGTTAAAAATAACTTCGTATGTTCAATTTAAACTCTAAATGACTTTTGGTTACTTGAACTTAAGAATTTGATGATTGAATTTAAACTCAAATTGGTTAAAATTATAAGTATCCCTGTATCCCAGTTTTAAATTTGCATTTTCGCACACTCAAGACCTTTCTCTTGACGCTCATGACATCTGTTCATCTAACATAGGGAGTGGGTGCTTCACTTTCTTCTTTCATTAGTGAATAATATTGACTACAGAACAGACATCTCTTTGATGCACTAACTATGGTCTTTTCATGCGATGTTGGCTTGGTTTGGTATGGGAACTGAGGAGGGAAGGGAATGGGGAGTAGAGTTCAACGAGGTGGAGGGAAAAACATCCCTTTTCTTGTTTGGTTGGAGGTGGAGTGAAGGAAGCTAGATGATATTTCCCTGTTTAGCTGGGAGATGAGAAGGGAAGGTGACGTGAATAGTTAAAATACTATACCCTTTTGCTTTGGGAATATTTGTTGTCCAAAGAAATACAAGAGGATATAAAGGTCATTTTAAAACATCACTTTTAGCTCCCCTTGAATAATGTTCACTGTCCCCCAGATTTGACGGGACAGGGAATAGTAACCATTTTGTCTTCCCTCCCTTAACCTCACTCCACCCTCCCCTCCAAAACCGTCCTACCAAACTCAACTTCTTACTTTTGTCTCCCACTTCTTCATCTTCCCTCCCCTCTTCAAATCCCCTACCAAACTAGGCCTTAGGTGTCAACATTCATGATTCACGGGCCCTAGCTCCAATTGCAAAACCTTTTAAAGGATTAACACTAGGCTAATAGTTCATTTAGTAGAACTTTTGCCACTTTCATCCCTTTACAGCTTTTGTGTTTGTTCAATTTGCTTGCGAACAACCTTAAATACAATCCTTATCTCAGGTTTAACCCGTAAAAGCATTAGGTATCAGTCAACACAGAACAATGTAGACCACCAGCGATAACCTTATCAAGGAAATAGTCCTACGCAGCCAAGCACCCATAAAACATGAATCAAATTTTACAAATAAACAAAGACATCCTGTACTTGACCTGTTAAAGGCCTACCTCAAATAAGGCTTCAGCTAACAAAACAATCCGTGAAATACTAGCTCGAGTACTCGATTCCTCATGCATGAATAGTGAATCACAAGTACATCTACCATCTGGGTGGAGCCCTGACGGGCAAAAGTTAGTTTGTCTCCTGTCATTATTAGAGCCAACACGGAGTCGTTCTCTTATCTGCACCAAGGAACTCATCAGGTCTAGCAAACCCAGAAAATAAAGATGCAGGAAATCTAATGTTATAAACCACTAGAGACTACAAAAAAGGAGAGCAGAGTCTTAACAGGGAATTGAAGGCCAGGAAAAAGTTCCGCTGAAGAAAAAGAATGAAGAAATAATGAAAGGCAAAGTACAAAGCAGAGAAATTAATTAACTGCAGCTTCATAAAAGAAAACATAACCAGAACATGAATCAGCTATAAAAAAAATTAACTAAATCCCATATGTGAATACTAACGGATCAGTTACAAAGCAAATTATAGGACTAACAAATAATAAATTGAAGATTAATTTGTGTAAAAAATATAATTTTAGAGCGAGTTCACCACAGAAAATGGGTATAATAATTTCAAGATGCATGTGATGTAATATAAGGGTTTGTATACTTACCAGGATTAGACTTAATTAATAATTGATGCACAACTTGAAGAAATAAAACTGAAACTGGACAAAAGATCACCTCAGATCTAGAATGCCATCTTCTTCCATTGAAACCATGCCTTCTACGTTGCAAAAATACTGAATCATGATCAAACCTAGTTCTGAAAAGGTCATTGCTAATATCTAGTAACCACCTGTCATTAAATCCGAGTTCATCATTATCCTCAGTGGATGACAATATTTCTGAGTCATAGTTCCTTCTAGTACTGCGCCTTGACAAGGCATCCCAAAATAGCCTTCTACTATTCCTTCTTACCTCGTTTCTACTTATATCCGCGGTGCCACTCGGTATATTGTTTGAAGGGATACTCATAACATCAACATGAAGGTCATTTCCATGACTCCTTGTTTCCACAGTGAGGAAGTCTTCACCTGATAAGGTTGCCTCAAGGAGAGGTTCCTCTGCCCGCAAGTTTGAAATTGAGGATAAGATGGCTGCAGTAGAAGCAATGGTTGAACCAGCATCAGGTATCTCACTTGTCAAGTTCACAATTGGAGGAGTATCTATTGGTTCCAGGCGAGAAACACTACTTGAAAACCTCACTGAGGAATGTTGGGATACATTGTCATTTATGCTGTCAGCATCTTCTTCAACTGGAACAAACACGGTATCTGTATTCGTTGAAGATGGTTCTAGATCCACTTGTTTTGAAGTACTTGCAAGATTACATGTCTTTTTAGAATGAGTCATGTTGGAAGCAGAACTTGCACTTGATACACAAGGAACAAGCTCCTTGCTTTCAGTGAGACACTTACCACAATCACTGACTTCAGTATTTTGTAGAAGCGCTGAGTTTTCTTTGTGACCATTACTGACGATTATACCAGACATCAGGTGTTCATTAATGGAGCTTGAGGAGCTGCTGTTTGAAGATAAGGTCAGAGGAGATTCCTTTACCATACATTCGAGATCATCATCTTCTATGGGACCATGAAGGCTTGCTGGTAAAACCAATTTCTCTGATGACCGGTTTTCAATCTGTATGTGAAACATAGTAATTACAAATTAGTCTACTCCTATTACTTATAAATGTTATACCAATATATAATTTAGTCATGAGGTAGCACAAATATGAACTATAGAAAGAAATATCACAGTGAAAACTCTGGACAGTAAAAAATAGACCATCAGACAAGACAACAGCAATTAGAAAACTGGGTATACAATTAGAAAACTGGGGATATAAGTCAAGTAGAGAGCTTTCAAAGTTATGATGATAGGTGACCTAAGTTACAGGGATACGGATATGGGTGCGTGTATGGGTTCAGGACACGGCAAATTTGTAAAAGGTAGAATATGGCGGCTTGGCTACACATAAATGTATATATCATTATATCATAATAATTTACATGAGCTCAAAATTATTTTTTTTTTCATTTCATGTGCTATGAATGAAGATATTAGAGATTGTCTTGTTTGAAGTTTGATGAATTACGCTGACGTCATTAACCATTAAATAAAGATTTTGCTTAATGATATCATCCAGCAAATCCCATATTGTCTTGAAGTGTTGCTAACAACTAAAGGAACAATTGTGTGCCCGCATTGATATACTTGCACATCAAGGTTCTGAGTGTAAAATGATAATAAACTTGAAGCAGATGGAGATTATCCAAAAAATCAAGAATATGTCGTTTAGTTCATCTATAAAATTGCTACTTCATCGTCATCTTGAAATATATGCAATACGCCGACTTAAAAGTTTATTCAGGAGCTTAAACAGCCCTATATGCCTATGATCATGATAAAAGATGCTCATAATTTTTCCAGAACTTGTCTTCTTGAATGATAAAGTCAATGTTCGCTAACAACAATGGTTCCTGCAATTGGCTACTCACAACATGTTTTCATATTGATTTTGTCTCTCGCCTCTTCTTAACATCTTCATTTTTTTCTTCCTCTTCTTTTGTTTCTGTTTATCCAAAACAATACATCCCCAAAGGCTTAGGTAAACTCCAAGGATTCACCCGCAAAACCTAGGACTCAAAGATCAAGATGTTCCCTTTCTTTCGGCACTATCCACACAACAAAAATTCAACTGGCACAATGGTGATCCAATATATGAAGAAGCAATTACGTGCTTCTAAAAACTACTACATATCTCTGAATTCTCCTCTACTTCGTCAAGGACTGGCCCCTATTTCCTTATGTTTATTTGATATTGGTTTTCTACACATTTCTCTTCTTGTTTTTTTTTTTCTCTTTTCCCATCTGGTAGGCGCTTAGAGGGGCAATACATCTTCCCTTTGACTTGCCAATCACCTGCCCTCTTTCCCATTTTGTTGGGTTGTCCTTTCCTTTCCTTCATGAATCATGAATCTTCCTACCTCCCTTCCCTGAAAAGACAAGTAACAACTTTGCCCCTTTCAACTACTACTTGTCCAGTCCATAGAGGCTATCAATGAAGCATAACTCAAAACTCTTAACTGAAGGAATTATATTCCTGTAAATCCCACAAAGCAACTGAAGAACACTTGAGCAACACAAAAATACCCATACATTTTATTTCTTCCAAGTTCCAAT